TACACTAAAGAAGCTAGTAGATTTTAACCCTATTTTAACTATGTAGTGGCTAGTAAGTGTTAAACACTGAGATGCACACTGTCATGTTAAAATCAGAACTAAGGAACAGAGATATAAGGAAAAATCTTAATCCAAGTGACAATGGAAAAAAATCATATTTTACCTTATTTTTACATCTAGTCATTGATCCAAAATTCTTCTTTGCCATTCAATTCTTACATTTAAAATTTCATTTATTATTCTTATTATCCAAGAAATATGCTTAATTTCCAAAATCTCCCTTAAATAATGTTTATAAAATACATATGTCATGTCACCGCCTATGTTCATTTATATCAGCCAATCATAATAAATATTTAAGGGGCATAGGTAAAAAATAATTTGTCACTATATAGGTCAGCTCTCTTATTAATAATAATAAACCTGACATTTCCATATCACAATTTATACAGCAATTTCATATCAAGTCTCCAAACATTTATTCATTAATACTTCCAATATTTCTATGCATTATTGGCAAATATTCATCTCCATTTTACTGACTTATAAAGCAAAGCCCTGGCTCATAAAATAACATGAACCTAGTGATTCTATGTTTTCTAACTCACAGTCCATTTCTATTTACCAGGAAGAGGAGAAGAATATTAATACATCTAGCATGAAATAGTTTAGCTACCCTGGTAGTGAGATATACAATTGGCACTTGGGTCTTATCTGTTCCCACCTTTTTATATGCGATCCAGTCAAACACCCTGTCAATATCTGTTGCCTGCAGCACTTCCTGTGATACCGGATGAGAACTGGCCAGACCGTCAAGCAGCATCACTTCATGCAGAACATCCGTCAGAAACCTCTGTTTTTCCTGCAATACAGTAGATGGGGCAATAGCATAGGTGATTTGTGATTACGACAGAATTGGTATGAAAACATGAACAGAATGCATGTCATTTAATTGATGATGCTTATCAGTCCTACATGGCATGACTCAACTCTAAAGAGAACCCAGTAAACAAAATGCCCTGTCAGTTACTCTAAAATGAAGGTAGTTGATTTGAGCATAACATGAAACAAAATCAAAGGACTACACTGGGCCCTACATGGATAAAAATAGCAGACTCTGTGCTTTAACAGTGGCTAAAGCAAGTCTGGATAGTAGGCACAGAGTGAAAATTATAAGATTCAGAGTTATTTTTACATTCTATAGGGCTAACACTACAACTTCTGACCCAAATCACCTTTTTAGGTAAGTTCAATATAAGAACACTAGCCTTCTGCTATTCATACCATTTATTTCTAGTACCATCTGAACAGCTCATTCTCTTTCTCCCTGTCCCTTCTGCCTTTCCCAGCCTTCACACACACACATGCACATATACACACACATTTGTTTTCTGAAAGAATTTTAGGAGATCACAACAAACAATAAAAGGCACCATTCATATTAAAGTATAGTATCAGTAGATATATTTGTGAATTCAGAATAATAGACATAAGTGGAAATCAATAGATATTAATAATCTATTACCATGAAGTAGTGAAAACAGAGAAATCATAATAGGACTTTTATTCTCTGCATGGTGAGACATTAGATATTTGCTCTAATCAAAGCTGATTTGTTTAGTGGAAATAAACTAAAGAAAAGTTACTTTTCTGTTGTTTGTAAGTCTGCTTATAAAGAAACACCTTGGTTTTCGTTAACAGAAGTGCTGGCAGCTACTAGTCCTCCTGGCCTCCTGCCTTCATTGAAGGAAGAGGGAAAGAAAAAAGAAGTTGCAAGAGATAACAAGGGCTGAATAGCCCCTAGGTAGTTAGGACCTGAGGAGTATCATTACAAAGATTAAAGACCAATGCTTAAATTGCTCTAGCTAATTCTGAACTCACTCCTGGAACCTTCTAGTTTTAAGCCAGCAGATAAACAGCAGGTTATTTCTGAGTGAGTCGCAATTTCAAGCTGAGAGTACACCAATCCTGGATTTAAAGAAACAGAGAATAAATATGCTAAGAAAAGAATAGTTAACCAGGTGTATATGTGTGTCAATTTGAATCTGCCTTTAAAGAAATATTTTTGTTCATCCTCATTTGCTCAAATA